ATTGGACTCCTGCTGACATTTATGTTTCCTTTTTCTAAATTTTTTCTTTTATACTTTATATAAATAATTTTTTTATGTAAAAAGTATTATAAATCATAATAATTAATAGCTTAAAATATTTCAAAACATATAAACAGTTTTTGTTAACTTTCAAAATTTCATCTATACCGCATAAATTGGAGAAATATAGATATATAGATATTTTAAGTTGCTAATTATTGTGAGTTATAGTACGTTTTATGTAATTTTCATATATATTACTCGGTCCTGATTTATGTGATACAAATGAAATTTCAAAAGTCAATGAATTTTTTATAAGTTTTTTTTTATATTAACTTGTTAATTATTGTGATTTCTAATATATTTACGTAAAACATACTCTAAATACAAATAATTAGCAACTTAAAATATATAAAAACATACTAAAAAATTGATTAACTTCAAATTTCATATGTATCACATAAATTAAAACAGAAACAATAACATATATTGGGCCCCGTGCTGGCACGGGGTCCATATCTAGTCTAGTATATATATATATGAAAGTCCAGCTAACCAAAACCATCAAAACTAGCAAACCTTTTTGTTCAAAGGAAATGACGGTCATGGACATCAAAAGCTCATGTTGCGAAGGAAGAAGAATCTCCTATGCCACAGGGATTATGGATCTTCCATGGGTGATTATGGTCGATATTCTTTCAAGATTGTCAATTAAGCCAATTTTTCTATGTAAGACTGTTTGTAAACTCTGGTGTGTGTGTATATATGTGTATGAAATCCTTGATTTAAAGTTTATCTAGAGATTGAAATAGTACTTTAGAGTATTTGTTTTATCTTATTTTCTCTGGGATATATATATTATGTTTTGCTTATGTGCTTCCGATATAAACTTTTGCTATTTTGTGGATCGTATTCTATTCTTGCCTTGATTTGGAAGTATTTACTGCTTTTAATTTATGTAACTACTTGTTTTTATGATTAAATTAACAACTTAACTCTTTTGATCTTGTTTAATATGAGAGAACTTGAACTCTCTAATTAATACAAATTAGCTTATTGTATAAAAGGAATAAGAGCTTTATGGATACTTCCTATATCATTAATTAATTGAAATTCTTGCGAAATATAAAATATTAGGTCATTTCTTCCCATGTGTCCAAATCTTAATTATTGGATAGAGTTATACGGTATTTTTATAGGTGAGACGTAGCAGGTACTCCATGGGCCATGAAATTAGTCGATGTATTACACACAAGTTGGAATGAACACCACGGTTATAATAAAAAGGAGAGCCTACATGATACATTTTTTACTCACCAACTAAATACCGTAGAAAGGTTTACCAAAAAAATATAAGGACACATTGTTTCTTCACATCCAACTTTAATGTATACAATCAACAATTGTGACACTCTTTTTTTTACCCTTCCTAAAAGCTCCCACATTTTTATTCTCCTGATGACTCGAACTCATTATCTTAATGTTAGAGTTGGCGGGTGCAAGACTTACCACCTGAGCAATCCTCTCTTAGTCGTCTAAATGAGATTGAAGAAGAAGAAAAAATAATAGAAGGATCCCAAATGGGCCTTTTAACTTTCTTTGTTTTGGGCCACAACATTACAGGCCCAAATTTTATTTTATTTTTTCTGCTCATAATTTATAGCAATCAAATAAAAAACAGATTTTTCTATATTTGTGACTGATATTTTCAGTAAATATCTTTTCTTATCCCTCTATTCAGTAGCCTTTAGCTAAAACAAAACAACAAAAAATCAGCAAAAAAAAAATGAGCTGTTGTTTGAATCATTTACCTGCAATTACTTTGAAAAATGGTTCAGTAAACAGAATTTCTAAAAGGGTTTCTAGTTCTATGTTGAACACAAGAGCTATGGCTAAAGAATTGTATTTTAATCATGATGGTTCTACAACAAAGAAGCTTTTGGTCATAATGGGTTTTTTTTTTCTTTATGTTCTTGAACTTTTGCTAATTTTTTTAATTTAAAGATTTTGACTTGGGTGAAATTTTGTCCAGGCAGGTGTGGATTTGGTGGCAGAGCTGGTTGGTGTAACTTTGGGTCCAAAAGGAAGAAATGTAGTTCTTGGAAATAAGTATGGTCCTCCAAAGATTGTTAATGATGGTGAAACTGTTCTTAAAGAGGTAAGGTACATTACAAGCATTGTTTATGAGTATGCACACGTAGATACCTCAACTCGTCCACATTGTGTCAGTTGAACACTTCAACTTACCAAATGATTGTCTAGACACCTCCAAAATTTATGTTCCATGTCAGCATCGGGTGTCCACGAGATATAGTGGGGGTGAGGATGAGTTGGATTGTTTAGTTGTTAGTGGAAACCAAGTTGAAGTGTCTATATGTGTACTCTCAAAGTTGGAGTGCTTACTTGTTGGCAGAGGCCAAGTATGAGTGTCGATTTATATTGGGAATTCATGTAACTTAGGAATATGTAAATGAATAGGTATTTCAATGTTATCAAGTTACAGAAAAGCAAAAACACTAGTTGATTTTGTTGGACTAGTGGTGCTTCATGTTCATACATATGCTCCTTAATACACATTGTTTTCACTACAGATTCAGCTGGACGATCCTCTGGAATATGTCGGAGTAAAGTTGGTTAGAGAAGCCGGTGCCAAGACTAATAATCTTGCTGGCGATGGTTGCACAACATCTATAGTGCTTGCTCGAGGTCTGATTGCTGAAGGTGTCAAGGTTTGAATAGAATGGAATAACATAATCTGCTTTCATATTTCAGTTATATCTGGTGATTACTTAGTATCTTTCTCTAGGTTACTGCAATGGGAGCAAATGTTGTCCAAGTGTCTCGTGGAATTGAGAAAACTGCTAAAGCCCTCATTTCTGAGCTCAAGTTGATGTCCAGAGAGGTATAAGTACAAATTACTTTCCCCTTTTAAATTACTTTCCCTTTGTAAATTAGACGGAGAGACATAAGTGTTAGGTCAAGAATATGCTTAGAACAGCTTTCTTTTGGGGTTGAGTTAGGCCAAAGTACCATATCGTTAACTTATTATGAGGTTGTACCATCTTCAACATGTCTTTTGACATTCATCAAACTTGCAGGTTGAGGATCACGAGTTGGAAGATGTTGCGGCTGTTAGTGCTGGCAATGATTATGCCATCGGGAACATGATTTCAGAAGCTCTTAGGCAGGTCGGAAGAGAAGGAGTTGTCACAATTGAGAAAGGGAACTCTACTAAAACCAATCTAGAAGTTGTCGAAGGAATGCAGTTTGATCGTGGCTATTTGTCACCTTATTTTGTAACTGATCGACGAAAGAGGATTGCGGAGCTTCACGATTGTAAGGTAGAGACTTCTTATGTTAAGCACTAGTGCCTGTTGTATATCAGGTGTTTATAGTGCATAATTTTTTTTATGTTGCAGTTGCTTTTGGTTGATAAAAAAATTTCAAACCCGAAGGAGTTGGTAAAATTTTTGGACAATGCAGTAAAGGAGAAATACCCGGTTTTGATAATCGCAGAGGGCATTGAACAAGACGCTCTGGCTCCCGTGATTAGGAACAAACTCAGGGGTGTCCTAAAGGTAGCTGCAATAAAAGCTCCATCTTTCGGGGAGCGCAAGAGTCATTGCTTAGATGACATCGCTATCTTGACTGGAGGTAGTGACATATGCAAAGCAGAAATTGTTATTTTTTGTTGATATATTCTAGGAAAAATTACTGAAATACACGTCTTATGTTTCCTTTATTTCCAATATCCCCTTCTATTTCTAAAAACCTCTAAAATCCATTATTTTTTTAAATATATCCGAGCTACATATTAATGTATCCAAGCCAGTATTTAATACATTCGAGCTACATATTATGTATCCGATTTATTTTATAATGTATCCGAGTTACATATTATGTATCTGAGTTAGCTTTTACTGTTTTCCTTGAATTTGATTAGATCATAAGAAATTTATCATGGTATCAAAGCTTTTGGTTGCGATTAGGATCTAGTAGAATCAATTTCATTGATTGAGTTAGAGCAGCGATGACAGAAACACAGAATTCGCAGGCAGAGGAAGATCCACAAACAGATCACAATCATCCACTTCATCTACAGGCGTCAGATGTTCCAGGAGCAGCTTTGATTCCGATTAAGCTCACTGGACCAGAGAACTATGGAATTTGGAGCAGATCTATGCGACTCGCACTACTAGTCAAAAACAAACTTGGATTTGTGGATGGCACTTGTGTGAAGTCTGCGTACAAAGGTATTTTAGTCTCAAAATGGGAAAGATGTGATGCTGTGGTTCTATCGTGGATCAGTGCTGCTATAGCACCTGAATTGATGACGAGCATTGTCTATGCTGCAAGTTCGAAGAGGATCTGGGAAGTTTTCAAGGAACGATTTAACAAGTCGAATTTAACCAGGATTTTCTATCTGTGGAAAGAAATCGGCATGTTAACTCAAGGTACAGATTCAGTAACTGTTTACTACTCCAAAATGCGAGATCTATGGGACGAACTGGATGTAATGGTCCCAAATCCGTCATGTGATTGTGTGGAGTCTAGACCTCACATGGAACACGTGAAACAACAACGATTATTGCAATTTCTGGTAGGATTAAACGAGAGCTTTGCTCAAGTGCGAAGCAACATATTGCTTAGTTCCTCTGTTCCGAGTGTGAATCAAGCGTATGCAACAGCAATACAAGAAGAAAGCCAAAGGAAACTAGGAGTGACTGAAGGAGGACAGGAACCGATGACTATGCTTGCTGGAAGGAATTCTCAATTTCCTCCACATCAACGCTTCTCAGGTACAACTGGACAACAAAACCACAGGCCTCCAAATGCACACAATCACCAAAATCAATCAAGTTTTCAAACGAGAAGAGCAGGAATGGTTTGCGAGCACTGTGGATACAAAGGACATATGAAGGATACTTGCTATAGAATCGTTGGATTTCCTGGAGACTTCAAAAGCAAGAGGAAGGTACATCATGAAGGATCTACACCTTATGCCAACAATTCCACAATGGAGACAGGTAACAGCTCAGGATCATCAACATCACATGGAGCATTCTTCACCAGAGAGCAGTGTGATCAATTGTTGAGCATGTTGCCACCAGCACCAACAGGAAACTGCAGGACTGATGCAGCAGGTATGATTTCTGTCCAAAGTAGTTATGAAGCTGTAGAATGGATTGTGGACTCAGGTGCTTCCCATCATATAACACATAATGCGAAAGTGTTGCGAGAAATGAAGAAAGTGTCTGATCCTAGTTGTGATAAAGTCCAAACTCCAACAGGGAGCAGAACTCAAGTAAAACACACAGGAGATGCTATGATTTTAGGAGGTTTCTGTTTGAAGAATGTACTACATGTTCCAGATTTTAAGTTTAATCTGTTATCAGTGTCTAAGCTTACCAAGGATCTCAACTGTTTTGTTTTCTTTTATCCTGACCTATGTGTGGTGCAGGACCTTTCAAATGGGAAGGTGATTGGGATTGGTAGAGAGACAGAAGGACTCTATATACTAAAGAAGCACACTGAACCTGTCATTGGAGCAGTAGTGAGAGACAAAGTTGATCACACACTATGGCATTATAGACTAGGACATGCTTCTGTGGGATCCATAAACCACATTCCTTATTTGAAGAATAAAGTTGGTATAGGTACTCAACAAGACTGTATGATATGTCCTTTAGCTAAACAATGCAGGTTGAAATTTCCCCTTAGTAGTTCACAATCACATAACATGTTTGATCTTGTGCACTTAGATGTTTGGGGTCCTCACAAGCAGTCCACATATGATGGAAAACATTACTTTGTAACTGTTGTTGATGACTATAGTAGATTTACTTGGATCACTCTTTTACAATCCAAGAGAGATGTTGTAGTTGTCTTGAAAATTTTCATTTCTATGATTTGTAATCAATTTGGCACTGGAATAAAGATTTTGAGATCAGACAATGGAACAGAGTTTTTTAACAGTCAAGTGAATGAGTTGTTGCTTAATTCTGGCATTATTCACCAAAGTAGTTGTCCTTATACACCTCAACAAAATGGTGTAGTTGAGAGAAAACACAGACATATATTAGAAATGGGAAGAGCATTGAAGCTGCAATCAGGCATTCCAGGAAGGTTCTGGGGTGAATGTGTGAAAACAGCTGTGTATTTAATTAATCGGCTGCCTACACCTGTCTTGAATGGAAAATCACCTTTTGAATTATTACATGGGAAAACTCCTTTCATTGAGCATCTTTAGGTGTTTGGATGTTTATGCTTTGCAAATGTTTTGCCAAAGGGAGATAAGTTTTCAGCAAGAGCTAAACAAGGTGTGTTGTTAGGCTACTCCTCCACACAAAAGGGATATAGACTGTTAGATTGGGAAACCAAGGCTGTTTTTATTAGCAGGGATGTGACCTTCAAAGAACATATCTTCCCTTTCAAGGGAATTCAGGCAGAAGATGCTCATTTACCATTACTTTCACCATTTGTTAATGATGCAGATATTGTCAAGAAGGATATGGAGCATTGTGATGATCCTGTGATTTCATCTGAAGGTGAAAATTCCACTCTTGATAGAGTAGTTCTTAATCATGAGTCCACAGATATGGTTGGACCAAGACTCGACTCCGACATTCATGTGGATCAAAGTGAGGAGCTTGGACTGGTTGAAGATACTCCTCATAGTAATCCACTTCCTCCTCAAGTCTCAGGTCAAAGGAGGACTACCAGATCTTCTAAACCTCCCATTTGGACTAAGGACTATGTTGTTCCCTCTAAGTTCAATCCTTATTCCATCACTAATCATGTTAGCTATGTCCATCTTCCTTGTAAATATCAAAGTTATCTCAGTGCTTTCTCCAGTATCACTGAACCTCAATCTTTTACGGAAGCATCACAGGATGAGAGATGGATGACAGCAATGCAGCAGGAAATTTTCGCTTTAGAAGATAACAATACTTGGACTATTGTGGATCTGCCTAAGGGAGAGAAAGCTATAGGGTCCAAGTGGGTGTACAAAATAAAGTATAAAGCCAATGGTGAAATAGACAGATTCAAAGCTAGGCTTGTGGCCAAGGGTTACACACAAAGAGAGGGACTTGATTATCATGAAACCTTCTCACCTGTGGCTAAGATGGTAACAGTAAGGACCTTGATTAGTATTGCTGCTTCTAATGGGTGGAGTCTTTTCCAAATGGATGTCAATAATGCTTTCCTACAGGGAGATTTACATGAAGATGTCTATATGGAACTCCCTCAGGGATTCCATCGACAGGGGGAGAACAAGGTTTGTAAATTGGAGAAGTCACTTTATGGCCTTAAACAGGCGTCTAGACAGTGGAACATCAAGCTTACGGATGCTCTCTTACATTCTGGTTATTCTCAAAGCATGCATGACCATTCTTTATTTACCAAAAGACAAGGTGCTCACGTTGTTGTTATCTTAGTTTATGTTGATGATCTTCTTATTACTGGAAGCAGTGGGGATCTGATCAAGGAAGCAAAGTTGACACTACATCAACATTTCAAAATGAAGGATTTAGGAGATTTAAGATACTTTCTTGGAATTGAAGTTCTCAAATCTAGGGAAGGAATCTTACTAAATCAAAGAAAATATGCTTTACAACTTATTTCAGATGCTGGTCTTAGTGGTTCTAAGCCTGCCAGCACCCCATTGGAATTCAATCACAAGTTTACTAGCTTGGATTATGACAAACAAATTGGTGCGACTGATGATCCAGAATTTGATGACATTACGGCATACCAAAAGTTGGTTGGTAAGCTACTCTATTTGACAATTACAAGGCCTGACATTTGCTTTGGTGTACAGGTCTTGAGTCAATTCATGCAACAACCAAAGGTATCACACTGGGAAGCAGCTCTTAGAATCATAAGATATGTGAAGAAATCACCCGGTCTTGGTGTATTGTTGAAAAGAGGAAATATCATGGAATTAACTGGATATTGTGATTCAGACTGGGCTTCTTGTCCAAATACCAGGAGATCTGTTACTGGTTATGTGGTCAAGCTTGGGGACTCTCTAATCTCTTGGAAATCGAAGAAGCAACAAACAGTAAGTAGGAGTTCAGCTGAAGCTGAATATCGAAGTATGGCTGCTGTACTTGCAGAATTAATCTGGTTGGCCGGTCTGTTGAAGGAGCTGGGTGTATCTATCACCATGCCCATAAAAGTATTTTCTGATAGCAAGGCTGCCATTCAGATAGCAGCAAATCCCATTTTCCATGAGAGGACAAAGCACATTGAAATTGATTGTCACTTCATTCGAGAGAGGGTGAAATCTGGTTTTATTGCTCCACAGTATCTCTGTTCTAGGTTGCAACTGGCTGACCTCTTAACCAAAGGACTTGGTGCAGGACAACATGATGAGCTACTGTCCAAGTTGGGTGTGTTAGATGTCTTCCACCCTCCACCTTGAAGGGGAGTGTTGAGCTACAAATAAGCTGCCCAGATTAATGCTAATAGAGTTGGTTAAAAAATCAGTTAGTTAGTCAGTTAGAGTCATGGACTAGGCACGTGAGTTTGTTAGAATTGGTTGTAAGTCTACAAAGTCACACATATATAGTGTGAAGAATTATCTTTTCAGTCTTCAATCAGAACATTTGATAGAATGTAGATTCTCTTATTCTCCTACTTCTTCTCTCTTTCTTCAAGCTATTTTTCAGTTTTCTCCATTACTGTTTTCCTTGAATTTGATTAGATCATAAGAAATTTATCAGTTAGTTTCTTATATCTACCACCTCATTTCATTTAGTCTCTCCAGAACCATCAATCATTAATGCGGACGTAGTAGTTTTTAAAGAGATGTTATGTCTCAAAGCTTCAGTCTCCTTCATGGTTGAACCGACAGAACTTTATGATTGAAAAGATTGACAGTTTTATGCATAAATTGGAAAATTCCAAATTATACAGTGGCTATTTGAAGTAGAGCACGTAAGAGCGAAAAATTATAAATAAAAATTTGAGAATCAAGAAAACAGTTTCTGAAGCTTATCATTGCTTATTTATGAATTTTAAGTTGTTTTTACTATCCACATACTTAACTCATCATGTCTCTGCAGGAACTGTGATCAGAGATGACATGGGGTTAACTCTCGAAAATGCCCACAAGGACTTGTTGGGCAGTGCTTCAAAGGTGGTGATTACGAAAGACTCTACACTGATAGTTACTGATGGAAGTACTCGAATGGCTGTTTCAAAGAGAGTTTCTCAGATACAAAATCTTGTTGAGGTGTGTCATTATGGTGACATCTGATATATTCATTTAAGGACGGATTTACAAGTAGTGTTAGAGCTAACACACGCATAAATATCTCATGGATATGCAGAAGGCCTGAGCACATTGTGTCATAGAGAGCACCACTGATTCCAAACAGTAAAGTAAACTTGATTAGGGTGAATTCCTCAACGGATATTACACCCGTCTTAAATAAACTGATTTCATCCAAATTCACCTTCATAAACACAAATGATTTTCTTTTTTTTTCTTCTCTTTTCTGGTGAGTGATTTTCTAGAAACTAGTCACCATATAAAACTTGCAAAACAGATCTTTAGTTGATTGTCATTTGATTTTTGCAGAACACACAAGAAAAATTCCAAAAGAAAATCTTGAACGAAAGAATTGCAAGATTATCCGGTGGTATTGCCATCATTCAGGTAACAAAAGATCTGTCCCCGCGTCTTGTCAATCTATATTATAAAATATGTTTGATACCCACGGTATATTTGATTGTATAAGTTGTAGGTGGGAGCACAAACACAGGTTGAGTTGAAAGACAAACAACTAAGGATTGAGGATGCCCTCAATGCAACACGGGTAATTTACCCCTTCTCCCAGTACTTAAAATCCATGGCTGATTATACATGATCTATTATGAAATTTTTCTGTTCGTGTTTGAAGTATCAGACACAAGCATAGCCACTTGTCATCCGATTACTTTATATAATAACTTTTAATATCTTAAAACAGCAATCAGCACTAAAAAAAAAGTAAAATAAAAGTTCTGTTCTAGAACCTGATAACGCTTAAATTCTGAATTTGCCTCTGTGAACACTCTCATCTTTCAAAAGTACCCTTGAAGAAAGGTAAAGTCAGAATCAGGCTTTTATGTTGGTCGATGCGAGACACCAAAGCATCCTCAACTCCTTTGTGACAATTAGTACGAATTTAGCATAAATATTGTGTTATTAGAAATTTTTCAACTGCATATCTATAATGCAAGTTGAAGGTAATGGATGCGCCAATCTCACTGCCACGTTGTGCATCTGATCCTGACTACACGTGAACTATTTTGACGTAATTTTTTGTTTAAAGCACTTAAGATAAGATAGGATATGGCATAAAGTATCATTACTAGGATTTATTCCACATTGTGCTATCAAATATTTCTTAAAGTGATCTTTCTTCAAAGCAGTAAATTTTTTAACTTTGCCTGCTCAGGCTGCTACTGAGGAAGGAGTAGTAGTGGGTGGTGGCTGTTGTCTACTGAGACTATCATCAAAGGTGGATGCTATCAAAGAAATGTTGGACAATGAGGATCAGAAGGTTCATAATATAGATGGTTCTTATTCAGTTTCATTTTCTGAAAGCAACTTTCATTTCATTAAACTGACTTCTCAGTTTCTTGAACTGCTTGCTTTACATCACGAGTATTGGATATTCGTGTTTTCTCCAACTGGTGTTGCTTTTGCTTATCTGATCTCTGGACTGACAGTTTCCTCGAATTATTCGCAGATAGGAGCTGATATTTTCAAAAGAGCACTATCCTATCCGGCAAAACAGATAGCAAAGAATGCTGGTGTAAATGGGAGCATTGTTGTAGAGAAGGTAGCTTTGAATGTTTCGTCATTTTTATGCAGTTTGTTTCAGCCAACAAAGTTATTAAACTCAAAACTGAAATACGTTATCTGGTGGTTAATTTGAATTTTTAACATAATTGCAGATTTTGTCAGTCGATGACATGAAATATGGATATAATGCTGCAAGAGACAGATATGAAGATCTGATGGCTGCCAAAATTTTAGATCCTACAAAGGTAAGATAATCGATATTTTGTCTAATGTGAAGAGGGAGAGTCCTCCACTTCCGCCTTTGCCATAAAACTATATCTCGTAGTATGGTTGGAGAAGGAATCAAACATCGTAACTGATACTACAAAACACAACTCTGTTTTCCAACACATATTCCTGGACTCCTCTATTTATCAATTTATACTAGATGGTTAACAAGTTTGATTCTGTTAGTGCACCATAAACTTCCTTGAAATCGTGAAACAGGTTGTTAGATGTTGCCTGGAGCATGCAGCAGCAGTTGCCAAGACCTTCCTGATATCAGATGCTGTTGTTATTGACATCCCCGAACCAGTATCTAGACAAATAAGACGACCACCACCACCGATGCCAACTTCAGGTACTCCTCGTCCTACCAACAACTATAATAAGTAAATTGTCAAACTCTCTCTCCATGTCTCTGTATGTAGTCTGATGTCGATAATTTAACTCCCAAAATCCAATGTTTTTATCGCGTAAATGATCTGTAGGTCCAAGGCTCTCTGGTCTATCAGGTCTAAAGGCAACTGGTCTTTAATTCAGACATGAAGGAGATATAGCTAATTATCTTGCTGGGAGCAAAAGAAGGTACTACTAGCTCATCATAACGATGCCAACTTCTAACAATTTCTTCCATGATTGCTGATGAAAACCTCTACCGTGAAGAAGAAAAAAATTGATCATTTTCACCATCAAGTGACAGATTCAAGTTTCTCATATCTCTAAAAGAACATGTACATACTTGCTAGTTGAAGAACAATTCGATCCTTCTACGGCCAAATCTCAATTTGTGGAAAGCCTTCGATGGCTTCCTTATGAAAACATCAATTTTTATTTGTGTATAGACGGTATCTCTTTATTCTTCGTGATATTGACCACATTTCTGATCCTTATTTGCATTTTAGTGGGTTGGTCTGGTATGAGAAGTTATGGGAAAGAGTATATTACAGCATTTCTAATTCATTAATTTATAATGATCGCCGTGTTCTGCATGCTGGATCTCCTACAATTCTATGTTCTTCCCGAAAGTGTGCTAATCTCTATGTTGTGTGGAGCTGAGTATCTTCTATTCGCTAGGATAAAGCGTATGTACATGTTAGATGATTTGCTTAAGCTCATCGCATTAAAAGGAAATGCATTTTGAACAAATGTATACATACACAATGATCTTCTTATGCCGACAATGTAATTTAAACTTGTTACAGGAAGTTAGTGTGCCATTTATTCTACGCTATCGACTAATGTTATTAAATAGAATCACCTGCAAATAATTCATACATTGTCAGAGTGTAAAACTTAAATTATTTTTCGTTTTATTTCTTATGAACGAATACAACTAGGACATTACTCTATTAAAACAAAATGGCATATACAATTAATCACATCACTTATAAATCAATAAAATACAAAAAAAAAGTAAAATATATTGTCACCTATTTTTTATTCTTTCTCCTAGAATAAACCATTCCTCGGATCCCATCCGGGTCAGCAACAAAGCCCAAAGGCCTATAAAACCCGAGAACTCGGGGCTCCGAATAAAGAGCAATATTCGTAATCCCTTTGCGTAACAGCTCGGTGACCAATCTTTCCATCACAGCTTTCCCCAATCCAATCCCTTGAAAATTCGGATCCACCACAACATCCCATATAATCGCATTGAATACGCCGTCGCCGGTGGCTCTGGCGAACGCCACCGGCCGTTTAGTTTTCTCGTATTCGATCCATAGAAGTGAATCGGTGTTCTCTAATGCGATTTGGATTTTCTCCGTGTCGCGTCGGGGAAATCCGACGGCTACGAAGACGGAGTTGAGATGGTCGAGGTTGAGATCGGTGATCGTACGGTGGAAATTGAATCCTTTTGAACGGAGAGATTCATCGGAGATTGAGAGATTTGTGGCGGTGATCGGAATGGGAATGGGTTGGATTTGAGAGAAAACGGCGACGTTACGGTGGTGGTTGTGGTGGTGGGCGGTGGGTTTAAGGGTGAAGGAGATGGAGATGGGGTTAAAGAGAAGCATTGTTCATGGTGGAAGGAAGAAGGAGAAAGAGGGGTATAGAGAGATCAAAGTGATGAGTTTACGTAGATAGGATTTTTGTGTGGTTCTCATGCAACTTAAACGGGTGAAGTGGTACATACTTTTTCATGATGTCGAATTTGAGTTTCGAAAATGAAATACTCTTTCGTTCTTCAAATGAAGATGTTGAATTTGAGTCTTGAGAATGAAATCATTTTTTTTTTAGAAAACATGTACGAATACATATTATTTTCAAGAAAATCTTGATCGAATACTTTTATTCGATATTCAAAATTTATACGGAAGTCTAGTTAATTTAATTTTACGCATTGTGAAACTTATTTTTGGGACAACACTCCTAACAAAAGAAAAAAATCGCATGCCTAAATTTCAAACTCGAATTTTTAATTAAGAGTGAAGAAATTTCGATTATTATTCTGCAACCTATATTGGTGTTTGAGTATTTTATCATCAACCTATTACCTACCCAACCGCTAACATGAAGGTTTATTAAAAACTAGATACAGGAACCAATTGTATTTAACAACATTTATTTTATACTTTGTAGAAATTAAAATATGAAAGAATATTCTAGATGAAATGGCATATGCTAAATATGATATTCGAGTTAATTAATGTATAAATTTGGGATTCCAAATGAGGAAAAATTGAGTGGGTTATTGGAATATTACTGTATTTTATTCTTAACTATAATTTCCATGTTTTCAATTTCTAAAATTTGCAACCTTAACCTATTTAAGAAATGATTAACACAGTGTTCGATATTTACATTGGAGTCTGACTAAATCTGAACTCGTGTCGAAAAGTCCCACATTGAGAGTAAGGGACTTGAAACCGTGACCTCTTGATTAAGAATAAAAAAATATTTATCACTCCATCACAATCTTTGTTGATGAAAGATTACTATCTAGTAAATTAATATTATAAGTTAGTCCGTAACCGAGATAATGTAACATCGGACGTTTAACTATAGATAATATTTCATTTTCTACCCCAAAAAAAAAAGTAAGAAAAAAAAAAATGAAACCTTGATCTATTTGATATTATGTGTAAAATTTCTATCAAACAAGTAGTATAAGAATTAAAGAATCATTCCAATCATGCTTATATTATTTTATGACAGAAAAGTACAGAATTTTTTGTCTCGTGACTAATGACTCAAAAATATCTGAGAGATATTTGAAATTCATATAAAATATTCATGATAATATAAATAGTAATAGATGTTTAATATTTAATTTACCGATGATTTTTTTTAATAAATTTATATTTAATCTAACTTTAATACAAATATCAAACACGTGACCAAAATAGTTTGACACTCAAACTATTTTCTCGAAATATTCTGTCACTTTTTTTGGTAGGTGAGTTCACACACTTTAGTCCTCTTATTTATTTGAACATCTTATAACAACCCTCAGATCCTAAAGTTTTCATTTATTTTTTCTTCAAAAGTATTCTTTGCGACTTCTACGAGGTAATTTTAGCTTTTCTTGGTTTTGTTCTTTGTTTAATGTGTTAAAGTTCTGATTATTTTTTTGTGATTTAGTATTTGATTGAAGAAGTTTGTTTTAATTCTTGATTTCTGATATGGGTTTTCATTTGAAGATCTTAACAACCCAAGATCATTAGTAGCTTTCTTGGTGTTGTTTAATCTGTTAAAGTTCTGATTTTTATGTTGTGATTTAGTATTTGATTGAAGAAGTTGGCTTTAATTCTTGATATCTGATATGGGTTTTTCTCATTGCTTCATTTGGGGTGTCTTTGGGTAGGTAAATTTACACATTAAAGTTGTGTCTTTAAGCATTCTCTTTGTATTTGAAGATCTTAACAACCCCAGATCAATAGTAGCTTTATTAGTGTTGTTTAATTTGTTAAAGTTTGATTTTTATTTTGTGATTTAAGAAGTTAGCTTTAATTCTTGATATCTGATATGGGTTTTTCTCATTGCTTCATTTGGGGGGTCTTGGGGTAGGTGAATCAACACATTAAACTTGTGTCTTTGCACATTCTCTATGTATTTGAAGATCTTAACAACCCCAGATCAATAGTAGCTTTATTAGTGTTGTTTAATTTGTTAAAGTTTGATTTTTATTTTGTGATTTAAGAAGTTAGCTTTAATTCTTGATATCTGATATGGGTTTTTCTCATTGCTTCATTTGGTGTGTCTTGGGGTAGGTGAATCAACACATTAAACTTGTGTCTTTGCACATTCTCTATGTATTTGAAGATCTTAACAACCCCAGATCATTAGCAGCTTTATTAGTTTTGTTTCATTTGTTAAAGTTTTGATTTTTACTTTGTGATGTAGTATTTGATTGAAGAAGTTAGCTTTAATTCTTGATATCTGATATGGGTTTTTCTCATTGCTTCATTTGGGGTGTCTTGGGGTAGGTGAATCAACACATTAAGCTTGTGTCTTTATGCATTCTATGTATTTGAAGATCTTAACAACCCCAGATCAATAGTAGCTTTATTAGTGTTGTTTAATTTGTTAAAGTTTGATTTTTATTTTGTGATTTAAGAAGTTAGCTTTAATTCTTGATATCTGATATGGGTTTTTCTCATTGCTTCATTTGGGGTGTCTTTGGGTAGGTAAATTTACACATTAAAGTTGTGTCTTTAAGCATTCTCTTTGTATTTGAAGATCTTAACAACCCCAGATCATTAGCAGCTTTATTAGTTTTGTTTCATTTGTTAAAGTTTTGATTTTTACTTTGTGATGTAGTATTTGATTGAAGAAGTTAGCTTTAATTCTTGATATCTGATATGGGTTTTTCTCATTGCTTCATTTGGGGGGTCTTGGGGTAGGTGAATCAACACATTAAACTTGTGTCTTTGCACATTCTCTATGTATTTGAAGATCTTAACAACCCAAGATCATTAGTAGCTTTCTTGGTGTTGTTTAATCTGTTAAAGTTCTGATTTTTATGTTGTGATTTAGTATGTGATTGAAGAAGTTGGCTTTAATTCTTGAATTCTGATATGGGTTTTTCTCGTTGCTTCATTTGGGTGTTTTTGGTTGAGTAGCTTAAAAAAAAAGTCTTCAGGATTTATGGTACCTGAGGTTCTGTATTGTTGGATCACTTAGTTAGGATTCTTAAAGTTTGTTCTTTGTTTTTTCTCTTTCGGTGTAGCTTTCTTTTTGTGTTTTTTGCAAAAAGTTTGGAACTTTTTCTTTTTATGTTTCATCCAGATCTGATCTAAGATGTTTTTGTTTCTTTAGTATACAATAGTTGTCTTTTTCTTGGCACTTTCTCGTATTGCTCTGTCATCAGATTCTGTTATTCCTTCCTGCAGTTTGGTAAAGCAATTTGGAAACAATTTTTCACTACCCTTTCAGTTTAAGGTATCTGAATAGTCATTTCTCTGCTAATGGTTTGACAGAAAAAATAGTTGAATCTATTTCTAACCATTGATCTTTCTCACTCGTGGTGCATCTTTACAAGACTCCAAATAATCAAATTGTTCCCTTTCATTGAGCAACTTTTGACAAATTGAAGTCAACTTGTTGTTTAAACTCGTGTCGTGACTGAGGGGAATACAGTAGGAATCATGATTTTTAATTCTTTCTTTAGTTTAATCCTAGAACTAATAACCCATGCGGGAAGTGATAATGAGAGTGGATGCTGGCAGAAATGTCCTTCCAAAATGTGTTCTAATTATCTGTTCTCGTTGTTGCTATAAGCTATTGCTGCTTGTACCTTTCATGATTTCAGTTTCATTAATTTCCCATCCTCTGGTCATAGGTACACAACATGGCTACCCCGACAAGAATTGGTCTTGCTGGCCTTGCTGTTATGGGCCAAAATCTTGCTCTCAATATTGCTGAGAAAGGATTCCCTATATCTGTTTACAACCGAACCACTTCAAAAGTTGATGAGACTGTTGAACGAGCTAAAAAGGAAGGAAATCTTCCTCTCTATGGCTTTCATGACCCAGAGTCCTTTGTCCTCTCTATCCAAAAGCCTCGCGTCATAATCATTCTTGTCAAGGCTGGAGCACCAGTTGATCAGACCATCAAAACCCTATCTTCTTACATGGAGAAAGGAGACTGTATCATTGATGGTGGCAACGAGTGGTATGAGAACACGGAGAGGAGAGAGAAAGAAATGGCTGAGTTAGGTCTTCGTTATCTAGGGATGGGAGTTTCAGGTGGTGAAGAGGGTGCTCGAAATGGACCGTCACTGATGCCTGGAGGCTCTTTTGAAGCCTACAAGTACATAGAAGATATCTTACTGAAGGTCGCTGCTCAAGTTCCTGATAGTGGACCTTGTGTTACATACATTGGTAAAGGTGGTTCTGGAAATTTTGTTAAGATGGTTCACAATGGAATTGAATATGGTGATATGCAGTTGATTGCAGAGGCTTATGACGTTCTGAAATCTGTTGGGAAGCTCTCTAATGATGAATTGCATCAAGCCTTCTCAGAATGGAACAACGGGGAGCTCCAGAGCTTCTTGATTGAAATTACAGCTGATATATTTGGAATCAAGGATGACAAAGCAGATGGACATTTGGTAGACAAGGTTTTAGACAAGACTGGAATGAAAGGTACTGGTAAATGGACTGTTCAGCAAGCTGCTGAACTGTCAATTGCTGCTCCTACAATAGCCTCGTCCCTAGATTCCAGATTCCTTAGTGGATTGAAGGATGAAAGGGTGCAAGCAGCCAAAGTTTTCAAATCTTGTGGGGTCAGCGACATCCTTGTTGAACAGTCTGTGGATAAGAAGCAATTGATTGACGATGTCAGAAAAGCACTCTATGCTTCAAAAATATGTAGCTATGCTCAGGGAATGAATTTGATAAGGGCAAAGAGTGCTGAGAAGGGATGGGACTTGACACTAGGGGAGCTTGCCAGGATTTGGAAAGGTGGTTGCATTATCCGTGCCATATTTTTGGATCGTATTAAGCAAGCTTATGACAGAAACGCAGATCTCGCTAACCTACTTGTGGATGAAGAGTTTGCAAAGGAGGTAGTTGAACGCCAGTCTGCCTGGCGAAGAGTGGTCTGCCTAGCTATAACCTCGGGTATTAGCACACCTGGCATGTCTTCAAGTCTTGCTTACTTTGACTCGTACAGGAGGGAAAGGCTTCCTGCAAATTTAGTCCAAGCTCAAAGGGATTACTTTGGTGCTCATACTTATGAGAGGACTGATATGCCTGGGTCATTTCATACTGAGTGGTTCAAGATTGCCAAACAGTCGAAGATCTGAGCTCTGCTGTTTACGTTCTTGTCATTGACCTAATTGAATAAAGTGCATGTTGTCACTGCTGGAAGTTTTTATATGTTTGTTGTGGAGTATTTTGTACCTGTAGGCCTTGGCGGCTTTTCTCTCATATTATGTCTCCCAAGTTATTGGAACCTGTCGTACAATCAGAGAGTATTATTTCTTGTTTTAGATAAGCCTCTTAGATCTTCATCAGCCATTACTTTTGCTCTATGGTGATTTGCATTCTCATTTTCCTTGACCATTTAATACATTTATCTTCTTCGTTCACTACATATTGTCTGATTCATTTGAATGATCTGTGCTAGTATATACTGAATAAAAGTAATACCTTTGCTAGGATCAACCCCTGGTATGGAAGATCTGGTATTGACCTCTCGATATGGTGCCAAATGTTGAGTACTGGATGCAAGAAGAGTTCTGAATTTTTTTCTGATATAACATCAGATAACATGAACAGGGCAAGTTTCCCCATAATTTAGGGATGATTGGGAACCTGCTATGAACTTTTGGACTGATCATTTTAATCTCTTTCTTTATCAAACAATAAGTTAAGTTGAGTTGCTTGCTAAGTGAGCAAGTTAGGGTGAGACGCTGTTATCAGTGTGTTTTCTGCAGTTTGAATCAAGCAAATGACTCGAATTCCATTAACCTTTGTTGGCAAGTCCAGTAAGCAATATAAACACTCCTTGCCTATTACTATCGTCATGCCAAAGCCTAAAGTTGCTGCATTTTCTAATCAAGTCCATTGGAGGCCCCTATCAGTGTGTTTTCTGAGGTTTAAATCTTTCTAGGAACTAGAGTTCCCTTAACCTTTATCATCAAGTCAAACACTCGCAAGCTTAGACCTTCAAAAAATTAATTTCCTCTCGTATGTATGTTCTTGTCCATCAGTTCCTCTTTCCCATTGATTTTACTTAGACGAAAATGATGGCTATGTAGTGGTATTACAACTCTCTTTTGCCTCTAACTTTGTGGCAGATGTGGAAAATTCTGCCTCTAACTTCTCATGAGCAAATTTTCAGTAAGCAGCTGGCCTTACTGAGACTTGTTTGTCAATGTCTATGCATCTTTATTACTGTCATTGTCCAACAGTATCCATGGAGCTTATAGGTTTCTTGTTTTAATTTCTATTACTTTCTACACTAGTCTTACTTTGAGACATTCATCTGTTTTGCTAGTTTCTTATATCTGATTGAGTCATTGTAAATTTGATTCTGTCTGAGTTAATTTGCAAACTAATGATATAGACAACTCATTTTTACACCTTCAAATTATTGCAACATGAAACGTAGCTATCTTAACATCGTCTTAGGTTGTCTGTTTGTAGATGGTACACGTAGCCTGAACTCAAGATGTTAGCAAGCTAGTGACAGATGTTTGAATTGTCAATTCTGCATATCTTTTCGTCACATGGCTGGTTGGTTCATCAAAAGTTTTAGCTATATCAATTTGCTACTTCTTGCTTATTGCCTCAGTAGAAAGTAACAAATGAGATGTCATTTTCACTCTGTTATGTGAATCCTGAAAATGAGGTTTTGCCTCTATGAGTAAATGCAAGTTTTGAACGTGCACCCAAGGGTGTGGTCTAGCGGTCAATTAAGTAGGGAAGAACTTTGGAGATAGGCCTTGCAGAGACAACAAAACTAGGTGATTTCCCATTTGCCTAAGTTTTGGTGGCTAGAGTTACTCGATACCTGTGCTGATGGGAGGTAATAGATACACGGAAGAACACTTGAGGTGCACACAGACTAACATTCTTAAAGGACACTAAGCTTTTGAGGCTGCTTGGACTTGAACTCACTCCTTCTCATGTACTTCATCACTTCCCTTTCTTTGATTCTTAGACATAATTTACTTTTCTTGCTACATTTACTTTACAGTTCTTCTTCTGAGGTAAGTTCTCCTACCAATACGGTTGAAGCAGCTCGAAAACAAGCTTAGAATATCTAAAAACAAGAAACTCAAAAAAACTAACTCTTATTTGAACAAAAATAGAAGTGAAAGATTATAACAAGCTCCTCAATTTCCTGCCTCATAGAGTGACTGATTAAAGAGATTTATCGATCGAAAAGAAAGAGATGAAAACTTGACATTTGAAGATATGTGAAAATTTACATCAGGAATGACAGACTCTTAAATCTTGACATTATAGGATATATAATGTATTACATTTGTTGTTCATGTGCTGAATAGGTTTGCCTAATCTTATACAGGATCTCTAATAACAAAGGTGAAATATCAGAAATGGGAATCAAAGCAGAAGGATTTACAGTGATTGTGGCGTCTCGGTTTTGGCTCTTAACTCACATGTTTTCCCCTTGTTGTTGATCTGCAATAACCATAACCTTTGCCACTCTTTGCTTTATGTCCTGAATCTTCTTTTGCTGCTTTTGTATTCTTATCAGACAATTTCTTCTTTGCCTGTTTTTGTTGCTGTAGTTGTTCCTTGCTTGAGAACTTCCTGATATCTTTTTCCACATGCTTTCCATAAATTTGCTCCATGTTTGTGCATAGTACTACTCCTTGATGACTTGGACCAGATGAAGCATCCGAAGTCATGGAATCATCGCTACCACCATCTTCAACATGATCATCACCCTTCATTGGAGTTCCTTCATCATCATCATCATCTATTTGATTATACTCACAGTAAGGTGAACCGATATACATCGTCCAACCAGACTCATTGCTGTTGCATTCTTCTGTTCCTCCAGGATGTTTAGGATACTCCATTACCCTCACTGAAAACTGAAAACCATTCAAAGAAAAAAAGAACAAAAAAGACTAACCTTTACTCATATCCTCCATGCATGTTCACTTGTTATACTTATCTGTCACACCTGATATATCATCATATTTACTCACAGTGTCTATCTCATAAATAGAGAAGCAAGTTCTGAAATAGCAGTACAAAGAAGAGTGCCCCACACCAGAAATAGCTAAGTAAGTCCCAATGTTCTTGAATAGATAAAAGAGGCCCTATCACAGTACTCTTTAGATATAAGAACTTTTAATTCATGTGAGATATATGCACTGAATCCAACTGTCTTTTGGCTTCTTATATGAGATCAAAAAAGACACTGGCGTATCACTTTTTTACGAGTTTCATATCTGATCTGTACTATTAGGTGTTTGTGTTTCCTTACCTAAACTATCACCAACTATATATCAATAACACTTCGATGCTGACTAAACCAAGTGTTTGAATACAAACGCCAATTTCAAAACATGTTTTGATAAATAGTTGGTGATAGTTCAGGTAGGAATAAACTCGCAAACAAGTGATACTTCAGATATGTTTTTGACCGTTATTTCATCTTTTGCTATTTATATCATGATTTGCTATATACCATTCAAGAAAAGGGTGAACTTTTTCTCATATTGTTTATTTCTTTCTTATCTTAATGAGCATTCCCCACTTTATATTCTTGTTTTTGGCTTATTATCTATTGAGATTAGACATCAAATGTCACTTTGCATGTTTTCCAGGTCTATATATAGGGTGGCTATCTTTTTTTGATAGAATCTTGAAATATTTTTCCTCATTTTTTGGGCTCCATATGGTGTGGGGTGCTAGTTCTTGGAAGTTATTTAAAATAATGGGACAACATTTTCTTAGCTGGGAATTTGATTCAACAGCTTGTTTTCTTCTATCATGTGTTATTTTTTTTTCATCACTTAAAATTATGGAAATTAAGGCCTCATGTGCAAGAACATTGATGCTTTTAATATTTTTTTGGATTGCAATCATATGCATGCATGTGTGTCATCATTTTTTCTGTGGAAGTCATTTTTACACATCACCAAAGTTTTGTTCATAATTTTGGCATGAATTATTAGTTTCATCTCCGAATTATTGACAATCTTAAAAACAGTTATTTACTTGACTAACTGAACTTAAATACATCTTTGATCTTGCAATATGAGTGAAATACACTCTTAATTTATCGAAAAGTTTAGAGGTGTTTTGAACACTTATTTTGACTTTTTATTAAGAGCTTCATGCTCCTACAAGAGTTTGAGATCACTTGTTATGTCATGTCGCAGATCGGGGGTGTATCTAAGTTTATTTAGTCAAGTAGAGGGGTACTGTATCAATAGTTCAGAAATGAAACTAATAATTTGAGTTAAGTTCAGAGGTGCTTTAAATACTTTTTTCCTTTTTTAAGAAAAATATTGGTTAATTAGGCACTCTCTAAAACAGCTCGATAGACAGATAATGTGATATTTACAAAGCACTAATTAGTGATCTGGCAGTATAGTGTTCTAACTAAATTTGGTTGGCTTTTAGTTTCATTGGCCAATGAAGAGTATATATATAATTAATATTAGAATCTAAGAGTGGTTAATGAAGTGTGTTGGGTGTCGTTAGGTTTCAAGTTTGAATTCTAACAGAGGTAAAAACACTAAGTGACTTCTTTTCATAGAGTTCTCTAGTACCTGTGTTGGTAGCTAGGACAAAGAACATATATATCCTATGAAATTAGTTGAGGTGCGTGCAAGTTGACTTAGACACGTAATAAAAAAAAGTTTGTTGATGGGCAAAAATACTACATGACTTCTTTTCATAGAGTTCTCTGATACCTGTGTTGGTAGGACAATTTACAAAGAGTATATATCATGTGAAATTAGTTGACGTGCGCATAAGCCAACTCAGACACGTTATTAAAACAAGTTTGTTGATTCTATTTAAGTTGGATATGAAGGTTTAAAATTCTATTCCTCAATGTGACAGATGAGGTTCATGCATATTAATCTGGCATTATATGTTAGGTTTAATCATTCATTGATAAGTTAAATTATTCTAGATTTTATTGCACTAAATAGAAATATTCCCTATCAGAAGTGACCAACCAATAGAATGGCTATAGAAAGAGCAAAGAGCCATAGCCAGTCTGTTTCTTTAAGTATTTTTTTTTTGTTCATTTTTTGATATATTAGTGTTGGAATTGAACATGGTAAGATGAAATTAGAACATGGGGCAAGTTATCTCTTCTTTTTATTCTAATATAATATAAAAAATTAAATTCCCTTCTTTTTGGTTCTTAGGTGGTGGATGGGAGTGGATGGTCATTTTTTTTTTCCGATGTTCAGTATTTGTTTTGATGTTTTGACTAATTCAGATCGACGGCATGTAAAGTTCATTTAAGAGTAAGTGCGATCATACCTTTTACATTCGCCATGTAAGGTCCTAAGTGCAAGCGCGAACATATAATCTTTTTTCATTCTCAAAACTGAGATTAAGAATGGAAATAATTAAGGCTTTCAATAAATTATATATATCCATTTAAAAACTACGTGACAAAATGAACTAAGTTTCTATATTTACTTGAAATAGTGGTGGTTTTAAAAAATGTACATAATATAACGATAGTTTGTGATTTTGTAGTAGATACGTACGGATACATTTATTATGTGTGTGGATATAGTTAGGTAGTAGATATATTGAATATGTGTGGATATACTTGTTAAATACTATACGCAAATACAATGTATTTCGTTATTGTTATAAGCACAAATACAACGTATTTCGTTACACCGATATTGTATACGTGTTGATACAGTTATGTGCATTTCATTATTATTATGTCGACAAATATAATGTGTTTTGCTATGTTTTGAAGCTAAAATAAATGATCCCTTAGAATTTTCCTTCATGTCAACTCCTATTAAAAGGACCTACATTGATTTGAAGATAAATTATGTTGAGATTTATTATTTTGGTATTAATAAAAATAATATCACTGCATAATTTATAATTAATTAAGAAGAAAGTGTTTGTTTTGTTTATAAAATATCATTTATTTTATTCAATAGAAAAGGATTTGAGAAACCTCATGCATATTTTTATTATTTTATCCCTGAATAATTAATCTTGTACTATTAATTTGTAATCTGACAGAGATAATTTATTCCAAATCAATTACTAATTTTGATATAGCTTATTTCAGAATTAATAATCAAACCAAGTGTAAAGCAATACTAAATTATATAATATATAATTTTAATTTGTTATAACATTATACTTTTATAATGGTAATCTTCTCTAAAATAATTTAAGTTTATAATTAACTCATTATTTTGATTTGATTGAAGGATATATGGGGTATAAGCTTAAACATGACATGTTATTTCAGGACCTAATAGCTCCAATTATTAAATCTATTTTCTTACATTGGACTAGTCTAATTTGCTTGTTCCATCAAATGCTGTCAATCAAGAAATTGGATATTTTTAGAAAAAAATTAAAGTCCATAAGTTTGCTTTCTTTTATGGTGAAACATTAATTCTACCCCTAAATATATAAATCAATTATATAGCCAAATTAATTACTAATTTACTATTAATCATAGTTGTCCATGTTAATCTCAACATGTAGTGTTGCTATTTAATTTTCAAGACTTAAAACCTAATTGTACAAATGGAATTAATTTATAATTATTTTTGTTCCACACGTCTTTATATTATCATGCAACTGTTGCTTCTATGATAAAATAACAAATATCTAGTTATAGTATATCCATGCATTAAATATTTCGTAATTATTTTTTCAAATGATGATTAGTTATCTCAACATGCATATAGTGTTGCTATTTAATTTGCAAGCCTAATACCTAATTATATAGTCATGCAAATATCGCTCCTATGTAGGGTGATAACACATATCTATCTTATATTATTCAAGCGTCAAATATTCATAATAAATTCTTCAAACTACTTGTAGTATCACTAATTTAAAAGTCTTGAAAACCTAATTATACAAACTAAATCAAGATTGTTTTTGGTTTTTTCACGCGTCTTTATAATTATATAATATCTAAATCATGATTGCTTTTGTTCTCCACACGTCTTTATAATCATACAGCTATCACTCTTATATAGATTATAACACACATATATATATAGTATCCAAACACCAAATAATCCTAATAAATTCTTCAAATTAATGGTTAATAATCTCAACACGTTGTATTACTTGAAAATCTAAAACCTAATTATACACAAACTAATTAATGATCACTTGCTTGAATAAACCTCCATTAATTTATATCATTTCTAATGATTTAATAGTGAAGTTTCGAAATCTTATGATTTGGTAGTGATTTTCATACAATAAATTTCTGCAACATCCAAATTATTTTTGAACTATATCAATCTTTTATTTTAACGAATAACGTGAACCAAATTAGTCGGACTCTAATGAGGGTATTGGACACCAAATACCCCCCCCCCCCATACCCTCCAAAAAAATCTATGATCGATAGATGTATTTTCTCATTTAACTATAATAAGTTAATATGATTTGGTAAAAACACTCTATACGAATAAGTTTTTATCAAATTTAATTTGGAATTCATTTCCTCAAGACCCTTTTTGTTTTGTTAAACATTGGGAAGTCCACTTGGGAAAGTCCAAATAAGCATGGGCCAAGTTTTGAAGGCCCAAATGGTAAAGAAGATCTGCTTGACAACAGCTTTGGGCCCAAATCACTAGCCCAATTAATTTTTATTTAAAGTTTGCACCACTTCGCTATTCTGGTCGCGAGCAATCTGTTTCGACACGATCATTTAATTTATACTCGCTTTTAAAAATATTTACTCATATAGCACATAAAACATGCGGTATTTGAGAAAAAAATGACTTCCACCAAATCCCCCCCCCCCCCATACCCTCCAAAAAAATCTATGATCGATAGATGTATTTTCTCATTTAACTATAATAAGTTAATATGATTTGGTAAAAACACTCTATACGAATAAGTTTTTATCAAATTTAATTTGGAATTCATTTCCTCAAGACCCTTTTTGTTTTGTTAAACATTGGGAAGTCCACTTGGGAAAGTCCAAATAAGCATGGGCCAAGTTTTGAAGGCCCAAATGGTAAAGAAGATCTGCTTGACAACAGCTTTGGGCCCAAATCACTAGCCCAATTAATTTTTATTTAAAGTTTGCACCACTTCGCTATTCTGGTCGCGAGCAATCTGTTTCGACACGATCATTTAATTTATACTCGCTTTTAAAAATATTTACTCATATAGCACATAAAACATGCGGTATTTGAGAAAAAAATGACTTTTCTAATGAAAGCAAGTTTCATAAGTAACATCCCAAGTTCATTATCTTTTCTCACCTATTCGATGCCTCCACCCCCACTCTTGAACCCCACTTTGATTCTCACGTCAACCCATTCCACTCACATTATTTTTTACTAGATTATATATAAATATTTTTGAGAATATATTTATTTTACTTATATACTAATAAACATTCACTAGAACAAAAAAAATAATTAACAGCAATAAATATACATATTAACAAAGAACGGTTAAAACATACAATACATTTTTTGGTTAGTTGCATAGTCGTGGGAAGCCACTATAACTATAAGATCATTTTTTTTAAGCACTTATATACCATGATTGCTTAATAATCCTTGATAGCCTTTTATACAACTTTCATATTAATTACAAAATCATTATTATAAAAGAAATAATACTAATACTTATTAAGAAAAAAAAGAAAAAAACCAAATTAATAAAAACTTAGAAGAAGCACCATTATTTCATATGGTTTCATATTTCTCATCCAATCTCATACAATGTTCGTTAAATATTTGACGAAGATCGATCCTAACGACTCACTTTAATAAAACAACCCAAAAATATATTCAAGGAATACTTTGAATCTAGATTTTGTGACTGCGACATACTTTTATTCTAAACATATTTTCTTCCATTACTATTATATAAGTTGTCGTGACATACTCAATTGCTCCTTTGAACCAGGTGGAATATTGCCTATTACACGACTCATTAACTTTGAAAGAAGTGATTTTTATTGGATCGATGGAATCAATCGTACCTACATGTGGACCTAATTAAAGCTATAAAAACTCTTTGCTATAAATAAATATATAAAAAATATAGTAATATATAGTTTAGAAAATTCATTATTTTAAGAAAAATAAAATCTGTCATGGACCCACCTAGTTCACCACTTGATCCAATATTTTTATTTCGAGTTAAACGAAGCTTCCCAAAGTCGCTGTTATAAAGAATTGATTTTTTCTCAAAGAGTTCAAAAGGATTCATAGATTTAACGCAATTTACTGGTAAAGATTGAATCTTTTTGGGATTCTGAGAAAATGGGTTTGCTTAAAGGGACTTTTCTTGATTGGGAACATGAATCTTACCCATCATATGAAGATTTCGCTGTTCTTCCATTGTTTGCCGTCTTCTTTCCTACTGTCAGATTTTTGCTTGATAGATTTGTTTTTGAGGTAATTTTCTGTTAAATTTCTTTTTTGGGTATGTTTAATTTGTTCCAACTGTTTCAGTCTTGAAATTTCTGATTTTTTGGGATTTTTGTGGATTTTTTTGGTTGTTTGTAGATGGGATTTGGCTTATTTTGCTGATTATGGTGTGGATGAATTTGAATGTTAGTTGTATGATCTATATTTTAGTTAACTGGTCTTTTGAGTGTGGTGATTGTTGTAGCTATCGTTTGAACTGTTAGTTTTAGAAGTAAAACTGATGATATTCATGAGGAATAAGTGTTTTGATTGGTTGAAGGTATAGGTCAATCTGTTATGATAGTTGGGTCTAGCTCAACCCTAAAACTAGCTCAAGAGGTGAGGAGAGAGTAGAAACCATCCATCCCATGATTGACCTTGTGGGACTTGGTTGAACATCTGGAGCATGAACAATTTTAATACGGGAGCTCAACATTGTGAATGAGAATGGGATGTGTGCTGCTCTTATACCATTTTATGAAACTTGGGCCTTATTCAACGCTAAAAGTTAGCTCAAGACGTGAGGAATGCCTAGGGTTGTTCACGGGTTGGTTTGGATCGGTTATTGGTTAAAACCAAAATCAAACCAAACTTAATCGGTTTTTAAATTATCAAAACCAAACCAAACCAAATATAATATACATTTATCGGTTTGGTGGTTATCGGTTTCGGTTTGGTTTGGTTCGGTTATTCGGTTATTAACCATACACAAAAATAAAAGAAACAATTCATTCAAAATATGAAAAAAGTGACAACAATGCATTTAAAACGAAAAATAGTTAGAATGACTTAAATTATTACTGAACTTTCGATCACTAAATTTACTATCAATAAAGCTTTAAAATTCACTATATTAGCGTAGAAGGAAGAGACAATAACATTTTCAGTCCCACAAGAATTGTTATAGACACTCACAAGCATGAAATCAATAAGATAAATGTTTCATCTTAGGCATTTTTGTTTTCAATAAGTAAATTATAAAGAAATTTTAATGAAAATATGTATAAGATCTTAATGTTTATAAAAACAATCTATTAAGTATGTATATTAATAAAATATATGTATATAATTCATCGGTTTGGTTCGGTTATTTCTTCGGTTTTTTTTTAATAAAACCATAACCAAACCAAATACTATCGGTTTTCAAAAATCTAAAACCAAACCAAACCAAACCCAAATAAAATCGGTTTTATTTTATCGGTTTGGTTCGGTTTTTCGGTTTGGATCGGTTTTTATCCAAACCGTGAACACCCCTAGCCGAATGCCCAAGTCATATAGAGACTACCCATCCCATAATTGAACGATGTGGGACTTCTTCAACACGATCAATCTTGAAGTAGGAGAAGAACTCACATTCGTAGGTTAATGTTTGCTTATCTGTAGAGTACGTGAGTATACTTTAGTTTCTGTTTTTTGAGGAGATTGAGAAAATGGGTGTGCTTCAAGGAATTTTCTGATAGGGAAAATGAATCTTACACATCATTCAAAGATTTTTCCGTTCTTCCATTGTCCGCACTCTTGTTTCCCACCGTCAGATTTTTGCTTGAAAGATTGTTTTTGAGATATTTTCAGCTTTGAATTTTGTTCACTTTTTGGCATCTCTTGTTCAATTGGTCAGGAGTGATTCAGTCTTGAAACTTCTGGAAATTTGGGATTTTTGTGCATTTTTTCATTGTTTTTTTATGGTGTTTTGTTAGTTTTTTCTGATTCTGGTGTGGATGAATCTGAGTGACAGTTCTACGAATCTATGTTAGTCATTGACCTTTTGAGTGAGGTAACTTTTTTTAGCCATTCCTTTGAACTGCTAGTTCTAAAGTCCTCCTACCCAGGGACATTGTATGTAAGAAATTAAAGCTGATGATATTTCACGAGGATAAGTATTTGGATTGGTTGAAGGTTCTGAAAGCGCATTATATTGGTTAATCAATCTTGAAGTAGGAGAAGAACTCACATTGCTGGGTTAATGTTTGCTTATGTGTAGAGAAGGGAGTATACTTTGGTTTCTGTTGATGCAAAGTTGTTGAGATGCTTGTTGTGATATTATCAGATTCATGAAGAGTATACACTCTGTAGAGCTTTACATGCTTAATTTCTTGGTAAACTATGTGCAGTAGAGGGAAAACTGTAACTGTGATCGAAATGATTCCGTTTCCCTGTTCCTTTCTAAAAAAATTTATTTTCTGATCTAGCAATAAAGCAATTGGCACATACATTCATCACTTAAACAGTGCCATACTTGGACAAATTTTAGCTAAAGGGATGTTAAGATATTAATGCGGTTAAGAAGAAAGTATTAAAGCAAATTATAGATATTGAATATACAATTCACGTACACTAACAACAACAATTACAACTAAACCTCAATTGCTAGCAAGTTGGGGTCTTCTATATGAATTTTTATGGACCATGTTGCTCCTTTTAAGCTCATCTCAGTCCGATATTATATATAATTAAAATAAAGAATAAAATTAAAATAGAAAAGATACAATATCTGTAGGAAACAGAAAAGGATTAAAGTGGTTTGCACATAATAAAAAGCTTTTCTGAAACACTAATTGAAAGAGCTATGCTTAAAAGAAGAGCATGCTGACATGAAAAATAAAAAGTTGAGGCATGAAGCAGTTGATAAAAATGAGGCAAATTTTCTCTAAAGAGACGTGAATAGTAGTGTTGTTAGAGTTATCAAGTTGAGGCAAACTTAATTATGTAAGGGAAGTCTTATCAAGTTTAAGGCGAACATAATTATGTAAGGATCTGGGTCTTGCTTTGTCCTTTTCTAGTTTCCCTCCTTTCAAGTTTCTAGTCTTCGATGGAACTTCTTTTCTTAAAAATCAAATGTAATGCTGCTCTTAGAACATGTAGAATTTTTTAAAAAATTTCTATTTTCTACATGAATTGTTCTTCTTAATGATCTCTCTTTCAACATGGAATCTATGTACATATTGCAGAAAGTGGCCAGAAGGTTAATATTTGGAAAAGGACAAGAAGTGATAGAAAATGAGACTGATGACCGGAGGAGAAGGATACGAAAATTCAAAGAATCAGCATGGAAATGTATATATTTTCTCTCTGCAGAAGTTTTTGCACTTTTGGTGACATACAATGAGCCTTGGTTTACAAATACCAGATACTTTTGGGTAGGGCCTGGTGATCAGGTCTGGCCTGACCAGATGTACAAGTAAGACCTGTTTTATTTTAGTTCCTACTTGGTGTCCTTTGTGTGTAGCTCTTCTGTGTTGCATTACAGAAGGTAGGGGATGAGGATGGACGGTGACTGGTAATGTATTGAGACATAATTGGTAAAGTTCGCAAGCAAGAATAACTGTTTTTTTGTGATTCTTGCAGACAGAAGATACTGGCTTATGGCCTCTTTTTCCATAAATCATAACATTTTCAAAATCTAGATCTGATGATTTTTAATTAAGCTTACATAGTTTTGATTCATAGTCTCTGCATATTTGAGTGACTGTCTTATGTAAATTTAGGTCCAAACTGAAGGGACTTTATATGTATACCGGTGGGTTCTATACATATTCAATATTTGCGCTAATATTTTGGGAGACAAGGCGCTCTGACTTTGGAGTTTCAATGAGTCATCATGTTGCCACTGCGATTCTTATCGTCTTATCCTATAATATCAGGTGTGTGTTTTGTTGAGGTGAGCTTATAGTTTTAAATAAAGGTCATTTTATTTGCTGAGATTTTGCTGGTATATAAGTCCATATTTAGCAAAGGGACAACTTGAGGGTATTCAACTTCTCGAAGCCAGACATGATTGGAGCTGGGGGATTGTCTGTGTTATTAGTTTAAAATTCTTATTGGAAGCGGATGCATGTAAAAAACAATTCAGCTACTAGAAATTATCCTTCATTTTGTGTAGTGAAGGTGTTCTTCTGCTGACAAGGTCGATACTCTTTTGGACAACTCTCTCAATCATGCAAAATTGAATTTTAATTGCGTTGTTTCATGTTCAAAAACTTCCTTTTCAGAAGACTTTTATGGTTGAAAAGATTCATGAGATTTTCTAGGACCCTGAGGGATGTGTTACTCTGAAAAATTGAGTTTAATGATGTCATCAAAATATGTAAAGCTATGAATCGTGCTATCATAAAGGTAAGATATGGGCATGTAACATTATTGGATTTCTGTTTTCATTCTTTTGCAGGTTTGCACGTGTCGGTTCAGTAGTTTTAGCCATTCATGATGCCAGTGATATATTCCTCGAAATCGGAAAGATGTCCAAATACAGTGGTGCTGAAGCTCTTGCTAGCTTTTCGTTTATTCTTTTTGTTTTATCCTGGGTTATACTTCGCCTCATATACTACCCATTCTGGGTTCTTTGGAGTACAAGGTGAGTCATAGGTGCTTTAACTTTTCCTATTTACGAAAAAGCTAGTTTCCTGTTTCTTAGTACAACTTTCTTTTTCTTGATTTATCCTTCTTAAATAAATATAGAAGCACCACCTTATGTGGTTTACTTTGCTTTAAGTTACAATTTGTTATGGTTTGTTGATGATGAAGTTCAAACTAACATAATTCTTCAGGCTTTAAATCAACTTTCCCTGCATTGCCTTGATCCAAAAAAATAACTTGATAAAAAATCAGCTCTCCCTGCATTGCTTTGTGCCATATCCTAGACACACTGGTTCCGGGAACTAATTATGCTGTGTGTTAATGCTCAGTTCTTAATTCAGGGGATTCAATATAGTCAACTAGCTCAGTATTGAGGAGTTGTTGATTGATTGATATTAACGTTCAGTTCTCTTTTGAAAACTTCATGTGTTTTTGCAGAAATATGAACTTACTAGTTAATGTTACCCTTTTTGTGAGAAATAGTTGTGTATGTGATTTATATGAAAGTTCTTTTATTTTTCTGTAAATGCAGTTATGAAGTTCTCCAAACCCTGGATAGGGAGAAGCACAAAGTGGATGGACCAATCTATTACTATATCTTCAATTCTCTTCTATTTTGCTTGCTGGTTCTTCATATATATTGGTGGGTGTTGATGTACCGGATGCTTGTTAAACAAATCCAAGCGAGGGGCCAATTGAGTGACGACGTGCGTTCTGGTAAGTTAAAGAACCACATGCTTATCTTGAACATCTTGATGTAAATTTTTCACTGCAAATCATTGTTAAAGTGTCCACATAAGCACCCCAAGAAAAAAAACTATTTCTCATGCTCCTTCCTCTTGAACTTCCAACCTGGTAGCACATCTCTGACAGTTCCTGTCATCATCTATGAACACCGAACAATTTCCACACACACCGTAGTTTGTATGCATCTGACAATGGTCTGCAGACGTTTGATTTCCTCTCCTACTTTTTTGCACATAAAACACCATATGATCTGAACTCTCATTCTTTTCGGCATGGTTTCTGCATAAACTGGCTTCCAATGTTGTTAATCACAATAAAAAATAATACTTGTCCCAATGCCCTAGGCACCCATTAGATGTGTGAGGAAACTCCTATGTTCTCTCATCTTAGAACTCGTTATAGGCAGATTTCACCGTTAAAATGCTGTCCTTTGATCCTTCCTTTTTGCGCTGTTTGTGACTGACTGAGGGATAAGGAATCTTTGAAGTTTTGGCTTGGACCATGACTCCTTAACTCTTGATGAAGCGAGTTTAGCACCTGTAACTAAGAGGAAGGGAATCAATTCATTCCTGCAGAAATCTAATTGTATTAAAATCCTCCTCTGTAACCTATCTTGTCTCCATTCTGACATGAGTCCAGATGATTTCCGAAACTCCAAATAGACCCCTTCCTGCTGACCCATAGACTCTCATAAACACCAGGCAATTGTACTACCCACACTCTTAAAAACTATGACAATGGTGATATTTCCTTTTCTTATGTCCCTGAATTTGTTTCCAGTACGTTTCTTCATGAAGTTCATTAAATTTTACGAATGTTACAAAGGGATCTCTACTATGTTGGCTTGCTTCATCTTGTTCGGATAAATCATTTATTACTCCCTCTGTTTAAAAAAGAATGACTTCCTTTCCTTTTTAGTCTGTATAAAAAAAAATGGCCTCTTCTTTTTTTGGTAACATTTTAATTTCAGCTTTTCACGTGGCATGTTTAAGGCCACAAGATTAAAGGGCAATTTTGTACATTTGACATAACTTTAATTCAGAACCACAAGATTCAAAAGTCTTCTTTATTTTCTTAAACTCTGTGCCTTTTTGAAACGGAGGGAGTACTTTTTAGAACACGATTCAAATAGGATTACTTGGTTTTTGTGCATAGTTTCTAGTCTATACGCCTATAGTGCATCTATATATAGTAATTTTGTTTTAAATAATGTTTACGGGACTGTCAACAACTTTTAGGATAAAAACATGGAGTTAGATGGATTGGACTTTAAATACTGCTTCCACAAGCTCACTGGATGTGGGATTGTAGAATACATGTTTGGGTACTTCCATATCTGCAAAGTATAGAAGTGGAAACTTCAAAAACTTAAACTGTCATTAATACCATTCAATATGAGGAAAAGAAGTACCCGTTTTTCTGAGAGATGTTTAGTCTAGGCTCTGTATTTACCAATCGTCACTGACTTATTTTGCTGCTATTATTCACTCTCTATGGGAGCAAACTGTTTTTTACTATATTGCAATTGTGGTCTTTAATTCTGTTCTACCTATGCAGATTCTGAAGATGAACATGAAGATTGACCGTGTCTGAAAACTTCTACTGCTGCTATGTTCATGTGAAGGTAGTTGATCAATCTTAATTGATTTGGATGCTAAATGGGGAAAAAAGATAAACAAAGGATCACAATAATCAGTTTTTGTGAATTATGTGTTACATGTAAATGCACAATTCTAATCTGTCAAAGAGACACATGTGAATATTTATGTTAACGCTATGGAGATCTTGAGGGCATTCATGCTTTATCTAAACTCAGAATTGCCATCCCTTTCGTTTTAATTGCAAAAATTTGATCATCCATTGCTGTGAAGTTCTACATGTTTGCTTAGTTCTTTGTGAAATAACTCATTGTTGTTATTTTCTTGGCCATTTTCACTTGAGCGCAGGTGACGAGGGAAAATATCTTGACTTGTTATTTATGTTTGTCGTGCTTTTCTTTTGCAGAAAGGAAACAACCAACCGCTCTTAAGAACTTGTCGGTGAACTGAAGCTATATGCTATTAAGTTGATGCTTTGGCTCATCAAAACGTGTGATTAGTTGAGGTAGGTTGAAGGAACTTCATTGATGGAGAAGGAGGCCATTTGATCATTTGTAGTTAATTTAACTCACCATTTTCTGGTCATTGACACTGCCATAGGAACATTAACATCCTATTTCCTCTTTCTTTTCTGTAATTTTTTGGCACCAACAATGTGCATAATGACTTTGATTTGTAAAATATTAGACTTGAAACCGTTTCGCTCTCAAAGGGAGTTGATGTAAACTTATTCATGAAACTTCTGCAGTAGTTTCCAGTTGCACTTGAAAAATCACATTTCAGTCTTGCATGGTTTCAAGCTTCAACGGTGACTGGATTTTCCCTTTCCAAAATTTGCTTTGGAGTTTGGAATACTTCCCTTTCCTTATTTGAGTCGAGGGTCTCTGGAAACAGTCTCTCTACTTTCACACGTTAGGGATAAGACCTCGTTCGTGGGATTATATTGGATTTGTTATTGTTGTCAGAATTCCATTACTGTTCAAGTGAAAGATCATGGACAAGTTGTGGGGATGACTGATTAGTGTGGTCATCCTCACATTTGAGCTAACTTCAAAACTTGGAAGCTCACTTACCCTCCCTTCAGCTGACTCGAACATTCAATCTATCGATTAATAATGGGAGGTACTCTAACCCATAAAAAGAAGCATTTTTTTCGCAACTTGCTAAAAATCGATTTGATGTGATCTTGATGCGTGAAATTTAGTAAACTATGTTATAATACTTGTCCAATTTGAAAAAAATTAAATATATTTTTAACATAATGGACAACTAAAAATAACCGCAAAAAATCCAATCTCTTTTTTTCTCTAATTTGTATTCTCCTTATACAATTATTTCCAACTTTTAGAAAAGCATGAAAAAAGAAAAAGAAAAGAAAAAAAAGTGAAAATGACATATTCCTATTAAAAAATAATACAGTAATTATTTTTACAAAAAGTATAAAGTAAAAATAAAAATAAAAATTATATTTCACACAAAATTGAATGTTCTGCAAGTAACATTTTCTTCAGTCGAGTTGATATCAGTGTGTCCCTTCTCGTCGGAGCTGTAAACTCATCTCCATTTTTTCCGGCGGAATCGATTTGTAAGTTCCTTATTTCCCTGTTCTCTGCCCTAATCGCTTTTTCTAATTGAATTGGGTCTCTAATTTGCAACTCTCATTGTATAAAAAAAGCCTCAATTTTTCAAATTTGTATCGATAATTTTTTCTTTTTCTACAAGGTTATAAATATTTGCTTGATATCCATGTGATTTTCTGGAAAAAGGGGGAACAAAAATAGAATCTTTCTTTACATTTTGGGATTTTTTTTCTGGCGCAGTGAGATCCTAGATTTAGAGGTTAGTGGGTTTCGGAATGATCTAATTATAGTTACACTTTTCTTTTTTGCATATTTATACGAAGTGTAAGCTGAAGGCACTAGTTCCATCACTTCCACCTCTTGACTTGGGGAGAAAGTAAAAAAAATAATAAAAAACTATCATTTGTTGAATGAGAAAGGAGACATTTGAGAAAGCTTTATGTGAATGGTACTTGTAAATAAGCTTAATGTAGCTGCTTAGAATGCTTATTTGAACATAATTTCTTTGAGACTTATTCTCAAATGGGTGTTTGGTTTGGATGATGATGACCCATTCTTTAGGTTATGGAGTAGTTGTTGTTGTGAATGAATGAATTATCTTTGTTTCCTTGTCAAGAAAGTGCAAGTATTGCATTTATGCAAACCAGTAATTTCAACTTCTGGCGTTTGAATCAGTTAGCTATGAGACAAGAGGGGTTGCTCGGATGGTAAGCACCCTCCACTTCCAATGCTAAGGTTGTGGGTTCGAGTTATCAAGAGAGCAAAAAGGTGGGAGCTCCTAGGGAGGGGTAAAAAGAAAGAAAAAAAATCAGTTAGGTGTGCTTGTCCTCAAACTCTAATCACTCCCTTGACATTGGCCTTAATGTTACTATGTGAATTTGATGGTAGTTGATATCTGTAACAATTAAGAATCCTTTTGTATTCCAAGAATACTAGTTATAAGAGAACCCTTATGAATATTACAAAGTAAAGGAGTACTGCACAATAACAGAAGCAGTTTTGTTTCTCAAAGAAGTAACAGAAGCGTTTCTACATTTTCATTTTCTGAAAAGAATAGCAGAAGTTTCCAGTTAAAGATTTCACCCTTCCCTTTTCTCTGCTTCTAAATAACAAGATGTTTCACACTTTATTGGTCTGACCCTGTTGATTTATGGGATTCCTCTCTATTGGCTGATTAAAAACGCATTCTTCTCAAAAAAGAAAAAAATGTGGAGAGTTTATTTTGGTTGTATTAGCTAATGACAAATTTGGGTAATTAAAAGATACTGTAGATAACATCTCATTTATAGGGCGTCAAAGGAATCTGAGTCTGGAGCTAGCAATGATACTTTTATTGTATTCAGTTAACTATTCCAGTCAGTGACCATTTCAATGGTGTCTTTTGTAGAGAACTGGAGTATCTTTTCCAGTAGGTTCCCTACTTTTTTCTGTACTTCTTGAATTCGATATTTAATACCACATCTTTTACATATTCAACAACTTTCTTATTCTAACCTGTGACCAATTTGCACCAAATCTGGAAGGCCTCTTGCTTTCCTTTTTCCAATTTTTTTTTCTGCATCTTCCGAATTTTGAAGAATGAAAATAAAATTCTGGTTCAGGCTCATCAAAGTTGAGGTTAGTGCTTGAGGAATCTGGAATTAGCTCACGTTAAACTTCTTGATCATATTCTTGGGTTAAGTTGAGCTTGAAAATGAGCTTAAACTCAATTGTTTCTCGGTAAAATAGGGGAAGCTGCCAAAACATCTATCATTTCTTTGCTCGCATTGATTGCATTCTTCATGCATATTCCTGTCAAGTTTACACTTGCCATGGAGCTGCTTCTCTCACTCACTCTCTCTTTTAAAAAATATCATGCTGATTCATCTTTTGGTCTCAAAACTGTTTATTTCTTCTTCTTTTTCTATTTTACTTTTATAATTACTACTCCCTCCGTTCCATTTTATATGACACACTTTGACTTGACATAGTGTTCAAGAAAAAAAATGACCTTGAAACTTGTGGTCTAAAACAATCCTTAGATGTATTTGTGGTTGTAAATCATTTAAAAGAGAAATTTTAAAGTTAATTTGTTTCTAGTTATAGTAAGGCGACATTCTTTTTGGGATGGACTCAAAAAGAAAGGATGCCACATAAAATGGAACGGTGGGAGTATTATTTTATGTATCTTTTCTTTTATGTTCTCACTTGTTGATTCTTTCTTGAGAAAGGTGTTTCTTTTTTCTTTCAGGAGTACTTTAGAATCATATGCTAGCAAAGGGTACTTGATTTTCTAAACACATTCTTCAAAATTGTTAGGACTTCATGTTGCCAATCGATCTGTTGGGACCCTCTTGATATTAGGAAGTTGATTGCCACTATTCCTTTTTTATATAAGATGAAAAAATATTCGTAGAGTTTTTCTTCTTGAGTTACACGATTCAGTAGTTATTGTATTCATTAAGCTACTCCCCAGACTAAACCAGTGTTTTTAACAGCCATCGCGTCGTCGCTTAAAGTGATGTGGGTGATGCTCTGTGCTTTAGAGAAGTTTGTGCTTCAAAAAATGGTGCACAAACTGATTCCAACGAGTTCTCTATTTCGAATCTCAACTTTGAGTAGTTGGATTAACATCGACATGATTATATATTTGATGCTTAAATTAATTGTGTGAATTGCAACTTAATTTTAATTGTACAAAATTCATATTTGTTTGATCATTTCTAATTTTTCGTAAATTGTGTGCTTTGCTTTAAAGAAGTGTGACCTTCACTTCTCTCTTTTCGCTTCAAGCCCCATGGATTTAATCGCTTTTGAAAACACTGGATTAGACCATGTGGACCAGCTACCATCCTTTCTGTAAATACAATGATTGCACGTAGTAGTAATTTGGATAGGGGCATCTTCAAGCCATTGTACTTGAAGTGAATCTCTACACCCTGTTCAGTAACCAGGTCTTGATTTCTTTTCCTTCATTTTATCTTTTCTCAAGTTCATATTTTCAATGATGTCGGCGAACGAGATACTAAAGATAGCTAGATACTCTAGGCAGCTCATTTGGAGAGATGTCATTGATCACCTCAAAATTTTGAGATCAACCTGAGTTAGAAGCTACATGATTAGCATTGATTTGATTGTCTTGCCTATTTGATCTCCAATTGTTATTGACTTATTGTATTCTGGTCTCTATTGTCTGTGCTTTGGTGTTGCAAGCTTTTACATTGACTTATGTTGTAGAACTTTGTGGCAATTACTCTCTAGCTTTCTCTGTTCCTGCTGGAAGAACCTTGGCTTGATAGTTGAACTTGCTTTATTTGTTGATCTCCAAATTTTGTCTAAAAGGCTATGTTCTTAAGCTCTTTGGCGTGGCGATGTGCTTTGGCAATTGAATTGATTTATAGCCTATCAGTCATAGGAAATGTGTCCATATGTTGCAACGTGTAGAGTGATAGATATTTTGTTGAATATTTTGCAGGTGATAGGTTGACCAAACAGATATGGAAGACATACTAACAGAAATCCCTCCACCTTCAAGGTTCTTTTTGGAAGATCTGAACAACTTTTGTCCTCCATCTCCTCCTCTTCCCTCTCCATTCCTGTTGTTTTCAACTTCTAACCGGGAGAAGTTTTCTCGCCCTTCTCTCCTCATCATTGCCATGTCTTCTCCGTCACTTCAAATTTTTCATCATGTGTCTTCCAAAACCCTTGTTGGAACTGTTATCCTTCCTGAGATCCCATTCTCTGGCAATTCAGTTGAACCCTCTCTTAAAGACAAATCATGCAATATATATGCCCTGAATGAAGATGATAACTTGATTATGATTGTGTCTGTTCAATATCCAGTTACTGCAGAGAGATCTCATGCAGTCGCGAAGCTACTGATTGGAGAACAGGTTATCCCAGAAAAGGTCTTAATTTTGGATTCCATCCGAAGTTCTAATTTTAGAGGAAGACTTTCACCCGATGAAGCATTTGCATTTAAGCTGGAATCATCTGCAGAGAGAAAAGCAAAAGCTGATGGCCATCAAGATTCACCACTGGTAAAATGCGCAGACTATCTTCCATCAGGAAGTGTTGTAGATGGCTTGGCAGCAGCTTTATTAAGCCGATGTCAGTTAAAGAAGATAAGGGGAACTCTGTGTGTTTCATGGCCTGAAGTCGGTGTTTCAGTTATATCACTTGTTAAGTCTCTACTGCTCAAGGATGTCCTCTCCCACGTGAAGCATATTGACATGAAGAAGCTTGAGGAGGGATTTCTAAAATTAGGCCGGAGTAAGGATTATCTTCTTGAATTTGAACTCTATACATGATATCTCTGGTTTGAACCAAATGGCCCTTCTTCTGATCCTAGTAACGCGTAGATCGTCCAATGTAGTTCGAATAGATTAATATTTTCATCATCTCCTGCATTTTACCAGCTTGACATGGTTCACCATGCCATATCAATCTTATGTTTTACAGCTACTTAGAGTGATTTTATGGACTTACATGGTCAAGTGTATGAAACACTATAAATTTAGGTACTTTGAGACAATCTTTTTATTTTTACATACATTTTGTTTTGGCCAAATAAGCCTTAGTTGTGCAATGTGACCATCACTCATATCAGGCTAAAATTATATTTATATCAAATTATATAACCTTATTATAATGAAGTGCACATGGCTGAAATGCATCATCTACTTATTAACTAAAATTAAATACGCTCATGATCTTGCCATACAAAAGTTTGAGAACACTTGTTATGCCATGTAACAGATTAAGGGTGCATTTAATATTAGTTAGAAAAGTAGAAGAGTATTTTTAAGACTGTCAAATAATTTCGGAACGAAACAAACAATTCAAGCCAAGTTTTCTCAATAAGCCATAAAACTTAGACATGTTTCAATTTTTTTATTTTTTTTTGAGAAATAAGACATGTTGCAAATATTTGAAAATACACATAAAAAATAATCAAATTTCGAACGAAAAATATTTAATTTAAACACTTTATCATTTGTGATATCGAAAAAAAGGGTGTCCAATCCGTGAGAAACAAGACATGTTGCAATTAGATTTTTCAATTGATTAAGTTATCTACGTAATAAACATTTGAGAATACACATAAAAAACAATCAAATTTTAAACGAAAAATGTTTAATATAAACACTTTATCATTTGTGATAGGACTGCGTATCGGTTGGTTCGGTTCGATTTTGAAATTTATCAGTTTGACTTATTGGTTATCGGTTTGTAGAGATGCTAAACCGTTATAGAACCATTAAGATATTGACTTACCGGTTATTGGTTTATCAATTTTTTATCCTTTTTAGTTCGGTTATCGGTTCAACCGTTAAGATTTAACACCAAAAAAAACATTGAAAATCACTTAGAAACAAGATGACAAACCAAATGAACCATGCACATGAGTTCACAAGTTACATCTTGCTCAAAAGCAAACATTTTTACATCGAAGAATATAACCAAGTGTTTGAGACAACCAGAAATAAAAGTAGGAAACCAAACTCTAAGTCAAAGACTTTATATACAAAATGGTATAAATATAAGTATTTAATTTATTATCGGGTTATCGGTTAACCCATTAAGAAAAAACCTGAAACCGTTAAGAACCGATAACTCGATAATAAAAAAAATCAAAACCGTTAAACCAATAAAAAATTTCAATTCGAGTTATCAATTTCGATTCGGTTTTGAACCGCCCTAATTTGTGATTTTGAAAAAAAAAGGGTGTCCAATATGTAAATATCGTAAATGAGAAGGATCAATATATAAGTCGAGTACTCTATACAAATTTCACACTGAACAAAGCAGAGAGCAAAACCCTCAAACACAAAGCAAGCAACAATGGAGGGCGTCTCCTACCAGAGATTCCCAAAGATAAAAATCCGTGAAGTTAAAGACGATTTCATGAAATTCGAGCTCCGAGAAACCGACGCCAGTATAGCTAACGCTCTCCGGCGTATAATGATAGCTGAAGTACCTACTATAGCCATAGACCTAGTTGAAATCGAGGTCAATTCCTCTGTTCTCAACGATGAGTTCATTTCTCATCGTTTAGGGCTTGTTCCGCTAACAAGTGAACGAGCGATGAGCATGCGCTTCTCACGTGACTGTGATGCTTGTGATGGTGATGGACAATGTGAGTACTGTTCGGTTGAGTTTTATCTACGGGTGAAATGTCTTAGTGACCAGACGCTTGATGTTACTAGCAAGGATTTGTTGAGTTCTGACCATACGGTTGTTCCTGTTGATTACTCGGATACTTCCTCGAGTTTTGATAATACTCCTAACAAGTGAGTTTTTCGTTTTGTTTTGTTTGGCTGGATTGAAGTATTATTTTTGTTGTTGTTGTCTCAGATGTCTTTTATGTATAAGTTTTTTTTTACATATAGGCATTGAGCTTCTAGGGCTATGATAAATCTGGGAAGTAGTTAGTTATTTATTGCTTGCCCAAGCCTAGTCTAAGCTCCCGATTGGCCATAGATTATGAAGAAACTTGAAAAAATGAGTTCTTTGAAGTTGTGTTTGGACATGCATTTTGCTTAGAAAAAATTGAAGCTTTGTGAGTGGATGTACCAAAAATCTAAAAACTGGTTCAGATCAGTTTTTGGGAACTTGAAATACTTCCGTGCAGATATTTGAGGATGAATTTTCGGAAAACTACTCCCAAAATGTATGGTCAAACGCTAGCGAAGTAGTTTGGGCTTGAGACATTGTTGTTGTCATTGCCTTGAATATGCATGTGGGCAGTTTTATGTATATGAGTATTAAGCTTAGTCGTATGTATATGAGTGTTAAGCTTAGTTGGGTTACGGTAACTCCTCCAATGATTGTTTTTGTTTGCCCATCTAGCTGACTTGAACTTGTTTAGGTTTGAGGCCCTATTGTTGTTATTTTTTTGAAAAAGGTACAATTTGTACATGTATCAAAAATCAGCATCAAGGCTGCTGCTGGGGGGGGGGGGGGGTTGGT